TAGCGCATTTCACACAGGCTGCTAGATTCACTTTCGCCAGAAAGTCGTGTATGCCTATGGTTGAAAACAGATGATGTTTATAGTGAATGCCCTATGAATGGTCTTATTTTTACGATTTCGTTTGAATCCAAATGATGCGTGTGCTAAGTGAGTGAACATCAAAGATCACACAACAGAAGTGCGCGCACTCTCTCTCTCTCTCTCTCTCTCTCTCTCTCTCTCTCTCTACCGTTAAGTAACTTGTGCATTGTTTTACTTGTTTTTGACATATCCGACCGAACTACAAACTTTCCAGTGATGTCTGTGAGAAAGATATATTCACTCGACAAGCTCGCACATCTGGGCCGCCGCGCGCTCAATCCACTCAGCCTGCTTTGTTTATCAGCTCGCGCACATCAGCTATACAGGCGTTAATACTGAATGTTTAACATTATATTCATTGCATGCATATACTTCGTAGTAGACATCCTTAACTCCTTTCTGCTGTCTGGTGTCTGTTGTTGGTGTTTCTTTGTCTGAATATGGCGCTTATCACATGCTGTGTGGTATCAGCGTTTGGTATCGGGGCACTTTAACGAGTACGAGTACAGGAGACCCGTATCGGGCCCGATACGGCATCCCTAATACTGCTGCTACATACTGCTACATTCAGACATGGCTGTATATCAGCTTGTGTTTACCCATGGCCAAATCACAGCCGTGCTGATATATAGCCATATTACACTGCTATGATATTGCTCATATATATATATGGGCCGGTTTACACCTGGTCATTTCATGCGTTTTCGCTGATCGGATATCTATGTGATTTGTTAAAACTTTTCCATTTACACTGTGTCGTCGCAAAATGTGTATAAATCCGATCTTCAATTCAATTCAGTTCACGTCAATGAAATCAAAAGATAAATGCTGCATTTTATTAATTATCAGCTCATTTCAAGATCAAAGACCGCAATAGGAGAGCACGCGGTATCAGCACTGGAAAGAAGTTTGTCTTAGTACTTTTAATGAAGATGATTGTGTGTTGACCGTCTGCGTCTTACTTTCCGTTTCATTCGTGGCAGTTTGCACGTCGGCTTGCTGAAGAGATGCTCAGCTGCTCGTCCACAGCGGTGCGTGTTGCATTAGCGCAGTCTGACTAATGTCATATAGCCTGTAACACGCTCTCACACGTTTATTATTTTAACATTTTGGGAGGAGTAACATTTACATATGTGGTTTCAACAACCAGATGCATTTACACTTGTCCAGTTTCATCTGGAATGCGGCCCAGACCACCTCCTGAAGTGGTTTGAGCGATCGGATTTATATCCGTCTCGAATGCGTTTCAGAGGGCATTTACACCTAGCCTTTTCACGATCGAATAGCTATCCGAGCAGAAAAAACGCATGAAGTGACCAGGTGTAAACAGGCCCTATAAGTTTTTTATTCTTTATCTTTATTTATTCATATATATATTATATATTCTTCTATATACTATATATGTATCTTGAATATTTATCTTAAACACACACATATATAGATTATATTAGGTCTGGGCAAGTTAATGCGTTATCGCATTAATGCATTAATTAATTAACGCAGACAATGATTTTATCACGCATTAATGCAGTTTTATTATAATTATTATGATTATTATGAAAGTCCGTTGCTCACTGGCTCTGAATACACATACAGACAAACCATGGGTCACAGGAGGGGTGGGATGTTGATCAGTACTGGCTTGGGATGGGCATCATCACGCGTCTCAACCAATGAGAGCATTTGGGGTGGGCCTAAGGCTGCAGCACCGCTCACATGAACAGTCCCGATGAAATTATTTAGGCTAAGCATCAACATTCACAAACCACTGTTATTTTTAACAGAAAAGAATGCAACGTGCTCGTAATCACAACTTCGTAAGTAGGAAATAGGAAGTTTCCAATAGCATGTGAAGACAGCAGAGAAGTGGACCGACTGTGCAGACCAATCAGTGTATTACAGTACCACGAGAGCTATAGAGAGCAGACTGCTCCGTATGCTTTTGAGTCGCTCTCGCGGATATCAAACACTGATCGGTCTGCGCCACGCCGCTTCTAGTCGAACACACCTAGTGCTGCAGGCTTATTGGCTCACTGACGCACATGGGATTAACCCCTTAGGTATCGAAATTTGGTACTGAATGACGAGACGTTTTCTGATACTCGATGGTATCGAGGCAGTTCGGTCGCTGCCTAAAAAGTATCGAACTCAATACCCAGCCCTCTCTATATATATATATATATATAATTTCCTTTTTTCCCTCCCATCATTTATTTATTTTATTTATTTCCCCCTCCCAACCTGAACAGCAATATTTTTCGGGGCACTTTCTGAATCCAAAGCCGGTTACTGGTGCTTGTTTTCTTTTGCGTGACTCTGAAAGAGCGAGGACAGGCAGAGACGGATCGAATGCTAGGCGACAGAGGTTAAATTATTTATAAGTTACCTAAAGCGCAAACTGCCAATGTCAATGAGTGGAAATGTCGACATCCTATCCTCTGGACCGGCTTCTGGCACTGCCATTTGTGGTGAAGGTTTTAAATAGCCAAGACAAAAATATTTAGCAAATTTCCCTCTTCGTCTCTGGTCTCTAGCAGACATGCCCATCTTTGGACCGCAGGCAAACTAGCCAGCATTGTTGCACAGTGAATGTTCCAGCCGAATTTTATACGAACCCTAAAAATGCACTTGTAAAAAACCACTAGTGGTGTGTGCAATGCAAAAGAATGCATAACATGCCTGATAAGTGATTGCTTCAGATAAGCATTCTTCATTTTCTCCCCATATTTCCTCATCATCTTTCTTAATCTTCATGTGGTTTCATAGCTCAATTTTCCAGAATTATATCTTGGCATCTTGCATATCATAATGTTGCAACTGCTTGGCTCACGTCTCTTTTTCAGGTCCAAGCTAGTGGCATGTGTCCATTGTTTTTGTCTGTATGCAGGAGACTTGTTCTCTATCCAGGGCTTGCGCTTCTCTGTCCATTTCTTTGGCACACTTTCCCACCACTGAACCCACAGCAAGCTGGCACCATAATGGGCATTGCAGACCATCCGCTGCAGGCATTACCAGCCAGACAGCTGCTGATGGATGGAGTTTATTTATCCTTCTTCAACAAAGTACTCAGTGCCTGGCAGCAGAGCTAAAACAATGGCCAGTGCTGCAAACTTTAGACACTTTTGCTCCTGGCCTGTTCTTGTGTTCTGATTGCTGGATGGATCTTAAAGTGTTTGAACACAAAGGATTGTAAGCTTTAAGTGACCTGACCGATAATGAATTAGAGGGAGTTGATAGGTTTCAGAGGAGTGTTATTTCATCATCTCAGGTAATAATTGTGTGAGCTCTTTTGATTGACAAGAATGACCTCCCCAAACAGCCATTTCCGGCTGCTCATTTAGTCTTTGTGCCGCTTTTCTCTATATAGAAGTATAGAAGACTAGGGCTGGGTATCATTCAAAAATGTTCAATATCGATACAGATACAATACTTTGACTTCGATACCGGTTCCTGAACGATACTTTTTTTTTATACCAGTTTTATGAAATAAATTTTAACAAGATTACATTATCTAAAAAAACAACAACTTTGGTTTTATTTTTCAGCTTGTTGATGTTTATACAAACTCAAAGGCTCACCTCCTGAGCCACTGCACAAAGGAACAAAATGTAACCAACAGAATAAATCGTTAAAAAATAAAAAGTTTTAATAAAGCTCAAAGAGTCTTCAGTTTACACATCTGTTAGGCTACATTTACACTAGTTAGTGTTCGTTTTAAAATGCATAGCTCCGACAGAATCATGATTTCTATTTATTTTCCATTGATTTACTGATGAGCATTAGCAGCTTCCAGCGCTGTCTGTCGGTGGATACCAGTTTTATGAAATAAATTTTAACGATTACATTATCTAAAAAAAACAACAACTTTGGTTTTATTTTTCAGCTTGTTGATGTTTATACAAACTCAAAGGCTCATCTCCTGAGCCACTGCACAAAGGAACAAAATGTAACCAACAGAATAAATCGTTAAAAAATAAAAAGTTTTAATAAAGCTCAAAGAGTCTTCAGTTTACACATCTGTTAGGCTACATTTACACTAGTTAGTGTTCGTTTTAAAATGCATAGCTCCGACAGAATCATGATTTCTATTTATTTTCCATTGATTTACTGATGAGCATTAGCAGCTTCCAGCGCTGTCTGTCGGTGTTCTCTCTTCCATGATCGCTGCTCTGACTCAGAGGTAATAGCAATAACTCCACTCAGCTCCCGCGCTACTCTCCATTGGAAATGAATGACTGAATGACCGGTCTGTCGCTTGTCAGAGATAGTGGAAAGCCAGATTGAAATGCAGTTTAAACGCCAGTATGACGAGGATCGTTTTCATTTTAAAACATAAACGCACCAGTGTAAATGTAGCCTTACTTCTATGGGGGCTGGGACGCATTCACTCTACAGCCTCACGTGTGCACCACATCTCTGAGTGTAAACTAGTAGGTGTGTTCGACTTGACGCGGACCGACTGTGCAGACCGATCGGTGTATTACAGTACCATGAGAGCTAAAGAGAGCAGACTGCTACTGATCGATCTGTCGTGTGTTGCAGGCTTATTGGCTCACTGATGCTGATGAGATTAACCGCTTAGGTATCGAAATTTGGTACCGAACGATGAGATGTTTTTCGATACTCAATGGTATCGAGGCAATTCGGTCGGTGCCTGAAAAGTATCGAACTCGATACCCAGTCCTATAGAAGAGAGGTTAAAAAGGAAGTTGTGAAGAGGTGGAATGGGATATTTGGGTAAAAACCCACGAAGCACATGCACTAACCGCTAGACCACTGTGACCTTTTTGTCTTCTATGGATGTCCACATATAAACACCCTATAGGCAAACTATATCTTTCTAAACTCCTAATAAATCCCCTTTAGGGAATCGATCAGATCAATACATTAGACCAGTAACAAAAGAGCAATTTGATTTGTTAAGGAACAATTTATGATTTGATGACTTTTTTTATATTTTAATTGTCAATTAATATAAAAGGTCTACTTATTTGTTATTCCTTTTTAATTTTATAATAGTTTTTTAGATATTTATTTTGTTTATTTATTTTTATGTATGTTTATATTTGTATTTGTTATTGTTTTTTATATTTATATACATATTTTATATTTAGTTAAAAAAAAATGTTTTATGTATGTTTACCTGCTGTAATATAACAGGTGATAAGCTTATTTTGGACTGATTCTAAGTGCACTGATTTTCATTTCCTCTGTCCTTATGTTCACAGTGCCTGCTGCTTTAACCATGGACCCCATCACTGCTCACCAGCGGCTCATATTATCAGACGACTGCACCATCGTTGCGTACGGGAACCTGCATCCACAGCCCCTGCAGGATTCACCGCGCCGTTTCGACGTTGAGGTGTCAGTGCTGGGAGCCGAGGGCTTCTCGGCGGGCGTCCACTACTGGGAGGTGATGGTGTCCGAGAAAACCCAGTGGATGATCGGCGTGGCCAACGAGACGGTCAACCGTAAGGGCAGCATTCAGATCCAGCCCAGCCGAGGCTTCTACTGCATTGTCATGCACGATGGTAACCAATACAGCGCTTGCACCGAGCCCTGGACGCGCCTCAACGTAAAGAGCAAACTCGAGAAAGTGGGCGTCTACTTGGACTACCCCAAAGGTTTGCTGGTTTTCTACAATGCTGACGACATGTCCTGGCTCTACACCTACCGAGAGAAGTTTCTAGCTAAACTTTATCCATACTTCAGCCCCGGTCAAAGTCATGCCAACGGAAAAAACGTGCAGCCCTTGCGAATTAACACCGTGCGTTTATAGGAGCCGAGTCAGCAGAGAAGTTGAAGAAGAAACTGAAATCTAGGTTATATAATAACGTTTCTTTCAGCTTACCTTAGGGCGCTCGGTGGGTCGCCGACACGTTACTCAATGAAGCGATCGGACTGATGGATTATGACGTAAGGCTCTGTAGATGCCTGGAGTTGGTAAATAAAATGGAGAGCCTTGCACTTTTCTGAGAGCTGCCGGTGGGCGTTTTGTACATTTTATTGTCGCCGGTCATTTGTAATCTTGCCGTGGCCGGCCTGCTTGCCCAAGATTTCCCAGCTGCTTGTACACAACACCCCAACTTCTGTCCCTTCAGCCCCTGCAGGGTCCAAACGCTCCTTTCATGGCTCAAGCCTGGGGAAAAAAGCTTATCTGTTGTGCAGACAGAAATAAAAATGTGTTGCCTGTTTCATTTTGTGCAATTGGTTTTGGTGTGTTTGTGGAGACACTGAACTAGTGCTGTACAAACTTTTTGCTTTCTTTCGAACTGCGTGATCGGTGAGTGGAATATTGTGTCCCTCAGGTCATGCTGACGGAGTTTGACTGCAGTAATCAGGCCCCCAGGTGCCCTGTATGCGTGAATGATCGTGTTCGTGTTTTATCCCCTTCTAGTCGAGATTCAGGACTCGAACACCGCTAACGCATCTGCTGCTATTATGAAAAAGGGGCCATGACTTTGCGCATTTGTACATATCGCAGAACAGGTGATAGCCTTAGCTTTGGTGAAAAGTGCATCCCCCGCGCCTTCCTTTTCCCTTTAGCTCGATATTGCTTTTATTTATTCATCTTGTGCTTACTTTCTAGAACATTCCAGTGTTTAGGGTCCCGGGACGTCTCGTTAAGAGGGTTCAAGTGTTAAAGAGGACGCTGGGTCATCTTTCTGCTTTAACGCATCTAATCAGGTTATAAGATGGTGAAAGACATTTCCGTTTCTGAGAGAATACATCCATTGCTCTTTAGAAAAGTGTTGAAATAGCTGTATTTTTTTTCTTTTTTGTTTTTGTTATAAATCAAAATTAATTACCCTTGTTGTAAATAAGGACCTGATGCAATTTCAAAGACTTAAAAAAAAAAATATATTGAAGCGCCAAACAGGAAATAATTATATAAAATATGAATACATAAATGAAAAATTTTAACATATATAAGTAAATCTGAATATATAGTTTTAAGTCTGAATATATAAATGTAAATTGTGAATATGTACTAATAATTCTGAATATATACATGAAAGTAGCAATATATAGATAAAAGTCTAAATATATATAGATAAAAACTGAATATATAAATGCAAATCATGAATATATGTATAGAAGTTAATCTGAATATATAGTTGACATGCCCGGTAATAAAGATATTTTCATATAGAGTGAATGTAGACGATATATATTCCAATTTACAATTACAGTATATGTTCAGGATTTATAAATATATATTTTGATTTACAATTAGATGTTCAGAATTATAACTATATATTCATGATTTACATTTACGTATATAAAAAATGTTACATTCATATATTCAGATTTACATCTACATATTACAATTAATATTTATATATTCTGAATTTTAACTACATATTCACAATTTACATTTATATATTCAGACTTATAACTATATATTCTGATTTACATTTATATATATATATATATGCAGATTTGTATCTATATATTCAGACTTACGACCATATATTCTGAAGAGCATTTATATATTCAGATTTATAAATATATATTCTGATTTAATTCTATATTCACAATTTACATTTATATATTCAGATTTTAACTATTGTTTGGTGCTTCTTTATATATATATATATATATATATATATATAATTTTTTACAATGCATATATACTTTTAAATGGAAACACTACAGTCCCCGAATGCACTCGTAAATTTTCCTTAATTACTCAGATGTGGCCACTACTTCAATTTGGTGCGTTGATGTTCTCAGAGGCTCAGCTGTATGTTCTGAACCCTGAGTTTTAATACTAGTAATTATTGCTGTTTTCTCCATGAATTTTTGCCATTATACGCCCTGGTTGAAATAACTTCACCTGGAATGAAGGACCGGTTCGGAATCCATTCCGTGTTTTATTCTGTAGCTGAACTTCTCCACTCCTGATTGGTTCTGATGTGCGTGTGTGTTCTGTCGTGTTTGGTGTTCAGGGGTAAAGGCATTGGTCATTTATCGCATGGACCTCGAGGTTGTTGCTCGAGTTTTAAGGCGGTCAGACGATTATTATTATTATTATTTTAGTGATGGTGATGGGTTCTTTATGATACATAGTTACATACTGCCGAGGAATGTTGTTGTTTGTGATGATGATGATGATGATTTGTGTGTTTGGATGAGAGCTGCTTGACACTCATCATTGTCTAAATGCGCTCTGATGAGCTCTTGAAACTGGAGGTTCATGGAAAAATGTTTGTGTTCAATTAAAAGAAATGGTAAAACCAGAAGCATTTCTGACTCTTCGTTATGTTTGACTGACTTCATAAACAGTCCAACAAGTGTCAAATGAGACAAAAAATAAAGGTGTAACTAGCCAGAAATCCAGATTGTCTACTGAAGAACATATCAATGACTGTTATTCAGGAAACAGAACTTGAATTAACATTTACCTTCAGGGGTTTAACTAGTAAAAAGACAATGGTTCTCTCTCTTCATACTGTTCTTAAGAACTGTGTTCTTAAACCACACAAACAAATATATTAAGCAATGTTATTTTACTATTATTTATATACTATTATAATGTTTATCAATAATACAAAAAATTTTGTATGGTTATATTTTCCATTTTCAATTTAGTACAGTAATTTTATGTTTTTTATGTATAGTATTTTTTTTTTTGCATTACTTTTTTATATTTAGCTTTTTTTAGTTAGTTGCCAAGGCAGTATTTCTAATTGTTTTTTTAATCTAATATATATATATATATATATATATATATATATGTACACACACACACGCATACTATTGTAATATTTATGAATCATTAAAATTGTGTATGTTTATATTTTCCATTTTCAATTTTAATTATTTAATTTACTTTATTTAATTTAAAAGTAAATGCATGTTTTTTTTATGTATAGAATGTTTTTGATATTCTTCTTTTTTTTCAGTTAGTTGCCAAGGCAGTATTTCTAATTAAGTTTTTTTTTATCTAATATATATACAGTATACTGTATATATACAGGGTGCGATTTGCCGGGGGGGATTTCCCCACAAACCCGCTCCGATGTCCAGATCTGAATCAAATGATTCGTGATACGGGATTCGATTGGAGTGCGGAGTCATTTCGATTGGAGCGCTTCGAAACGGAGAATCATTTTGTGACGCAATGGTTTAAAGGGGTCATATGATGCGATTTCAAGTTTTCCTTTCTCTTTGGAGTGTTACAAGCTGATTGTGCAGAGATAAGATCCCTGAAGTTGCAGAGACTAAAGTATCAAAACCAAAGAGATATTCTTTATCAAAGTTAAGACTCTGCCACGTCTACCTAAAACGGCTCGTTCTGACACGCCCCCACATGTCTACATCACTATGTGGAAATATTTGCATAATGCCGCCCAAATATTCACGCAAAGAAAGAAGGCGTGGTGTCAGTAACCGCAGTTAGTGTTGAAGCAGCATGTCAGGGAGACGCTGTGTGTTTCTAGGCGAAAGCAAAAGCACTTTATTTGGCCTTCCGAAAGTAGATGCATTTAGGAATCTTTAAGATTACTTACAACAGAACAGCAATGCATTTTATGGACGACCGTTTCGTGAACCTAGGAGAGGAGGACATTCTGACTTTCCTATGACAATCTGGCGCTTCTGAATCAGCTACTGTTTTGTTATTAGTTTAAGTATTTGCTATTGACTGTTCAAATGTGGGGTGTTGCGCATCGTGTGTGTGTGTGCGTGCGTGCGTGTGTGTGTGCGCGCACGTGTGAGAGAGAGAGAGACAGGGTCACATCACAGTGGAGTCAGCTGTCTTAACCGTGGCTTGTGTACTGCAAACACATACCCGCTTCATCACTGTGTCTGTCACGCGACTCTGTTCCCCTTTCGGGCTCTGTCTTTACATTTATTTTGAAAGATGAAGCTCGTGATTATGGTAAGGGGCGTTACATTTCCGACGAGTGCTTGCGGTGTTCTGCCAATCACAATGCACTGGGTCAGCTGGCCAATCAGAGCAGACTGCGCTTGTCGGAAGGAGGGACTTTGTAGAAAACGAAGCGTTTGAGAGAGGCGGGGCATAGAGGACCTACAATAATGTACAGTATTTGAAAAATAATGTGTTTTTTGAACATTAAAGCATGTCAACATATTCTGTTACACCAAATACACAAAATAACGATCTTTAAAAAAAGCATTATATGACCCCTTTAACTGATTCAGAGTTTCAAAAAGCTCCATTGTGTTCTTTGCTGGCTTTCTCTAGATAGCCTAATTTATTCGTTGTTTGAATAACCGTGGAAATTAAATCATTACAATTAATAGGCCTAACGTAGGCTACAATGTTTTTATTCAACTGTGATCACGTTAAATACAGTTTCTGTCCTATTAAAATATTTCATAAGTTTTCAAAAGCATCCCCCCCCCCCTCTGTTTTTTTCACAAATCGCACCCTGTATGTATGTATATATATATATTATTTTAGAGTAATACATTGACCTGTGATTATACAAAACAAAACAAACAGCTGTTTACAAATCATGAAAAATACCAAATATTAAATGTTGTTTACCATTGGCAAGAAAGTTGATTTTTGACAATGGTCTAGTGTGGTCCGCATTTGAAATTATTTGCATTATGACTGTTGCAATGCTCAAATTCTCACAAACCAAAACCAAAAAAAAAAAGTCACCCTTAGCAATTTCCAACAGGTGAAACTCCTTTCTTCCTTCAACATGCTCTTTTCTTTTCCAGCTCTTTATGACGCATCACAAGACAAAGCGAGCAATTGACAAATCGCGTTTGCCATCTAAAAACAATGTACTGCGATTTGGCACTTAGTCCTCCAAACTGCAGAAAAATGGCTTGTGTGCGAGCAGAAGAATTGATTTTCCTTGCATTTTTAATGAAATCATTGCATCAACCTGTGTCCGACAAGACACAGTGAAACTCTGGAGACTTGGGACATGGTTTATGGAAGTGTTTTGTTATTAACTGAAAGCTCTCCTGCGTTCTTACTTGAAGCCGTGTGTAATTGTGTAAGTATCCCTCAGGACAAGGGTCCTGTCAAACCTATAGACAATGTATCCGCTGTCATACGGATATAACTAGGTGTGGGCGTTGTGAGGTTTCAGCTGTAAAATCAGACAAAAGACAGAAAGAATGCCGTCACACTGTCTTAAAGACACCTCACCGTCATTATAATGAAAAGCTCACTTTCGCACAGCTAGAAATGCAAGGATGTCACTGCAGGGCTTCTGCTTCAGGGAAGACATCACACTTTAGTGAGCAACCTGCCAGTATAGCACCAGATGCTGGTTTATACGATACATGGATATCATGATGGGGCCTCGTAGGCACGTTAAAACATTCAAAAACATTAGATATAGTGGCTGACATGATAGGTTTTGAGACGCAGTCGCTTGTGTGTCTGAGCATCTTCTCATGGTGCTTTATGCATCTTTTTCTCAGTGCTTACCCTTCAATCATTTTTTGAACCACATGATATCTGCAAACCTATAATGAATTGTTCATCCTATCTAAACTACTTGACTTTAAGTCCAATAGTGTTATTTTAGTATAATTGGGATAATATTAGTTTGTATTCATATTTAGAATTTTGAGTATATCTATATATCTATATCTATATAGATATAGATATATATATTAGCTTATTTTAAAGTTTGTCTTTTTGTTGTGTTTTTTTTTAATTATTATATTTTCTGTTTTGGTACGTCAGGTTAAACTAAATGTAAATCAGAAATGTTGCCTTGGCAAGTATCTGAAATAAAATATTTTTTAATAAATATGATTTCAGTTAACATTTATTTTAAATAACAATTTTTAATGGTTTTAGTATTAGTATCAGTTAACAATATTCCTAACCAGGGTTTGTTATTGATAAATATGAAATATATAAAAAATATAAAAATAAAAGCTAATTTAAAATGAATAAATACTGTAATAAATAAACTAAAATAACACTTTTAAATATAATCAAATATATTATTAGATGAAAAAATCTTCTCTTGGCAACTAACTGAAATCATTTTAAAGTACTAAAATTAGTTAGGGTATAACAGGGTTATTGAAAATTAAAACTGTTTAAAATCAGTTTAATTAATAGAAGTAAATGCAAAATAAAATGATTAGATATGTATGAAAACTTTAAAAATAAATTAAAATAAAAAAAATTCATGGAAACTACTGAAATAAAATTGAAAAACAAAAGTTGAAGTACTAAAATTACTAAAACTAAAACTGAAAAAATAAGAAATAAAAACAAATGAATAAATAAAGCACAGTTAAAACAAACAAATTAAAATGAAAAAGGAACATAAAAATTAAAGCTCATTTAAAATATCAATTAATATTATAATAAATGAAAATAAAATAACACTTCACTTGGCAATTAACTGAACTACTAAGAATTTGGCAACTAATAATTTTAAAGTACTAAATTTACTAAAACTTAAACTGAAATAAAAATAAGAAATATTTATTCCTAACCAGGGTTGTTATTGATAACTAAAACTGTTTAAAATCATTTTAATTAGTTGAGGTAAATCCAAAATAAAAGGATGAGATATTAGATGAAAACTTTAAACAAAAATTAAATAAAATGAAATAATAAATCATTCTTTTGGCAACGAACTGAATTTTTTAAAAGTACTAAAATTGCTCAAACTAAAACCGAAATAAAAATAAGAAATATTTACAAAAAAAGTTAAAAGCACATTGTTAAAAGTTACAAAATGTTTAATAAAAACTAAAAATATAAAAAACACTATAATAAATACTACTAAAATAACACTGTTGCTTACACATGTTGTGTCACCAAGAGTTATAGCACTGCCTTTTATGAGTGTTCAAATCATTTGCAAAGACTGACCAGAGTTGTTTGCTCTCCTGTTCTTACGGAGATTCACCTGTACATGTGTGCATGTGTCTGTGCAAGTCTGAGTTCTTGAGCAGGACGAGTTTATGTGCTGTCAGTTGTAGCGTGTGCCCTGTGGTGCTTTTCCAGAGAAGTCAACTAGAGCTGCAGAAGGAAGATGGGCCAATTAACAAAGGCTTCTTCAGTTTCAGAGTACGGTTTCACATGCAGAGACCTCTAGACGGCGCAGGGAGACCTCTGCTGTTGTAACTGAATTTTTTAAAAGTACTAAAATTGCTCAAACTAAAACCGAAATAAAAATAAGAAATATTTACAAAAAAAGTTAAAAGCACATTGTTAAAAGTTACAGAATGTTTAATAAAAACTAAAAATATAAAAAACACTATAATAAATACTACTAAAATAACACTGTTGCTTACACGTTGTGTCACCAAGAGTTATAGCACTGCCTTTTATGAGTGTTCAAATCATTTGCAAAGACTGACCAGAGTTGTTTGCTCTCCTGTTCTTACGGAGATTCACCTGTACATGTGTGCATGTGTCTGTGCAAGTCTGAGTTCTTGAGCAGGACGAGTTTATGTGCTGTCAGTTGTAGCGTGTGCCCTGTGGTGCTTTTCCAGAGAAGTCAACTAGAGCTGCAGAAGGAAGATGGGCCAATTAACAAAGGCTTCTTCAGTTTCAGAATACGGTTTCAGAATACGGTTTCACTCTGCTGTTGAAAGCTGTACTTCAAGAGCTGTAACCTCATCCAAAGAGCTTCTTTTTCCCCTTCAACTTTGTGATTGCTCTTATTTTTACTTGTTCGGTCATGAATTTGCTCTTCATAAACCTCATTCCACTGCACCGATTCCAAGTTTCCAAGTGGGAAACTTTGATGAATGTGCTCATGACAAATAACCAGTGCCTTCAAGCACTTAATAAAAAAGCACATTTGTATTTTTTATGTTAACTCTAAATGCCACTGCTCATATGTCACTATTGTTCTGTGAAGCACAGCTCCCCTCGGGCCCGAATCTTTTTTTTTTTTTTTTTTTTTTTTTTTTTTTTTTTTTTTTCAGAGTACGGTTTCACATGCAGAGACCTCTAGACGGCGCAGGGAGACCTCTGCTGTTGAAAGCTGTACTTCAAGAGCTGTAACCTCATCCAAAGAGCTTCTTTTTCCCCTTCAACTTTGTGATTGCTCTTATTTTTACTTGTTCGGTCATGAATTTGCTCTTCATAAACCTCATTCCACTGCACCGATTCCAAGTTTCCAAGCGGGAAACTTTGATGAATGTGCTCATGACAAATAACCAGTGCCTTCAAGCACTTAATAAAAAAGCACATTTGTATTTTTTATGTTAACTCTAAATGCCACTGCTCATATGTCACTATTGTTCTGTGAAGCACAGCTCCCCTCGGGCCCGAATCTTTTTTTTTTTTTTTTTTTTTTTTTTTTTTTTTTTTTGAGGAACCGTAAACTGGTTTTGGGTTTAAAAATAACGCAACTATCTCACATGAAACCAGCTGGTGCTCTGAAAACGAACAGATTATTTACTTTGCGAGGAAAATGCACCTCATAAACTCATGAATTCTTAACACATCTGTTTCGGCAACCTTAATTTGTCTTCTTCTATCAGATTTTGCCGTGTATAGACGGTCTTTTGTTACACGGACATTGACAGATTGGCCATCTCCTTTTGCAGTTTTCAGCTTCACAAACCTCCTCCATCAGAGGTAATTCAGAGTGCATGCATCACATTGCAATCAGGTTTTTTCAAATTTTTTTCCAGGGTCACTTGACGACATGGTGATATGAAAGTCATGTTATCTCGTCATAGTTCATTTTTAAGAACCTCATGCTAATAGATTGTGTGTGTGTGTGTGTATGTGTGTGTATATATATATATATATATATTTGTTTTTTTTATTATTTATAAAAAACTATTCATATTTTGCAATTAATTTAAAACAGATTTTACAAATGCAGCCTCTGTCTATGTTAAAATAATGTTTTTTAATATTTAGTAAATAAATAATCAAGTAGTAAATGTAATATATATATATATATATATACAAATATATATATATATATGAAGAGTTAATTTGCTAAAACAGAGCTCAGTTTTTAACAATTTTCCAAAATCATGTTTTTTTTTTTTGTGCATTCCAATTAATCTCAATCAAACTGCAGTTGGGTTATTTTGATTAGGTTAAAAAATAACTAAAAAATACTGCTAACTAACACAATAAAGCAAAACATTTTTAAAAAACATGATTTTTCAAAAGAGTTTTTAAATATACACTAGACTTCTTTAAAAAAACATGAAAAATTCTTACCGTTCAAAAACTTTGTATTTATTTGATCCAAAGTACAGCAAAATAACAGCATAAAATAAATATTTTCTATTATAATATATTTTAAAATGTAATTAATTCCTGTGATTTCATCATTACTCCAGTCACATGATCCTTCAGAAATCATTCTAATATTCCTTAAACTGTTGTTAGTCTTGAATGCTTTAGAGCACAGACTTAAGTTTGGTCTATTTTAAAGAGGAGACATGTGGCAGACTGCTGAAGTGAAAAAAAGTGAAATGAATAAAAAAAAAAACTTGAGGTTGATATCTCAAAAAAAGAGCTTTCAGTAAGATTTTTTTTCCCGGCGCAGTAAAGAAATTGGTTCTCCATCTGTGTCCAATGATTCCAGTCATTTTAAATCACCTTTTCAAATCTTTTAGATTTATTTTTTTTCACACAAGTGCCAAAACCTTTACAAAAGTTTGTATCATTCTAATGAAGTAAACAACAAAACATACAATTTTTAGTCAAAAATGACCAAAGAGCACCAGAAGGTTGAATATACAGATTTGTATTGGTTTATACCCACATCTGCACCTTCAGCACTTACAGATCCGGTACTCTGTTGACCGATAGAGATAAGAGTTTCAAGTTGTACACCACCAGATTCTCCAGGTTAAAGATTAGGAGAATATTACCGCTGACGACTGTGGGAAAAACACAAACCAGAGCCACGCATACCAACCCTGTGAAGATTTCTCGCCCTGAGCAGGGACTTTCCCTTTTGGGAAACCAACAGCGTCTGCTTTGAGACTTTGCGTCTGTCCTGTTAAAGACCGCCAAGGATGTGACTTCCAGAGGAAGACCGGTTTTGGACTGTGCAAATGTTGCAAGGCTGGATGATTGCTTTTGTTTCTCGATATTGTCTGCCAAACCGGTTTGTTGAGTGCACAGTACACCATTCCCAGGACAGATCCGTCGTGGCTCACTGTTCTCAAACCCAGCCGTGTGAACGCCACAGCTGTTGGGTGTTTTTTCTGAGTCAACCAGAGTTTGTGACATATGCATTAACCCAGGGCCCAAATAGTCCTTTTTCTCGCCCATCTGTGTGGTTTTAGATGAGTCAGGCAGTCGTCGGGACACCTTTGTCCTGAACAGACGCAGACTCCCCGTCAAGCTCAACAGGACCACCATAGAAGGAAGAACCCAGGAAAACTCATCAGCACAGGGAAGGCAGGTGAGAAGATGGCCACCTTTTCCTTGACAGGTTTCCACTGAGATCTGCTCCAGCATCCAGTCGTGGCTGCTGTAGATCCCGCTCATGCTCCATGCTAGAAAACATCCCAAGTAGCCAACTGTACTAGAGAGGGATTCACTTGCATCTCGTCCCTTTGTTCGCCTGCCTTGAGGACACAGCAGATCAACCAACAACTCCACAGCAATCAAAGGCGGCATCAGCAGCAACACAACTCCATAGGCCTTGCAAAGGAAGAGCAGAAATCGAAGGGCGATGACATCCGAAGACGCGTTAAAAGGCGTCAACCAGGACTCCATGAACCAGACGTAGAGCAAAAAGACTGGAGGAACAGAAAAGAGGCATTAAAGGGAGTAGTTCACCCAATAAGGCCATCTAAGATGTAGATGATTTTTTTCTTGAGTAGAACAGTAAAGAAGATTTTTAGCTGAAACCGTGGTCCTTGGTGATTCGTAAAATGCAAGTCAATGACTGCCCGTTTTTTTTTTTTTTAAATAATAATATAAAAATAAAATGAATACCCGTGGCTCCTGATGATATAATGATGTCTTATGAAGGGAAACAAGATTATTATTGTTGAAAACAGCTGATTAGAATTTTTCAGGTTTCTTTGATGAATAGAAAGTTCAGAAGATAGAAATAGAAATCTTTTGTAACGTAATAAATGTCTTTATCATCACTTTTGATCAATTTAAAGCATCCTTAGTTCACCCAATAAGGCCATCTAAGATGTAGATGATTTTTTTCTTGAGTAGAACAGTAAAGAAGATTTTTAGCTGAAACCGTGGTCCTTGGTGATTCGTAAAATGCAAGTCAATGACTGCCCGTTTTTTTTTTTTTTAAATAATAATATAAAAATAAAATGAATACCCGTGGCTCCTGATGATATAATGATGTCTTATGAAGGGAAACAATCGGTCTGTGTAAGAAACTGATTATTATTACCTGCTAACCAGAGCCTCAAGTGAACAGGGAAATCCAATTATTTTCTGTGAACTGGTTCAATTCACTAGTTCATTTACTTAAATATGCAACGTATATGCAATTATATTATTAAAGCGATAGTTCACCCAAAAATGAAAATTCTGTCATTAATTACTCACCCTCATATCGTTCCAAACCCGTAAGACCTTTGTTCATTTTCGGAACACAAATTAAGATATTTTGATAAAATCCGAGAGCTTTCTGACCCTTCATAGACAGCAAGGGTCCTACCACGTTCAAGGCCCAGAAAGGTACCAAGAACATCGACAAAATAGTCCATGTGAAATCAGTGGTTCATCCATAATTTTATAAAGCTACAAGTATACTTTTTGTTGCACAAAAAAGTAAAATAACGTCATTCGACGATTCTTTTTCTCCACGTCACCCTAGCGCCATTTTGGAGAGTACCACAACGTATGTGCGTGCTTTCCTCTGATCGTAAACAAGGCGCAGCGCATGCGTGTTCTACGTCAGCAGCACCACGTGCATGCTTTGTTTATGTGTAGATCAATGTTGTAAAATATATTCAGTTTTTTGCACAGACCGATCGTTTCGCTTCATAAGACCTCATTATATTGTCCAAAGCCACAAGTATTAATTATGTGTTCCTTGATATGCTTTTTTTATTCTCAAAAACAGGCAGCTAAAAATCTTCTTTACTGTTCTACATCTTGGATGGCCTGAGAGTGAGTAAATTAGCAGCAAATGTTCATTTTTGGGTGAGGTGTCTCTTTAAACTGGTGAATTAAGTGGAGAATGTGGACATGGTTTGTGGTCCTGCTTACCAGTGACAGCGAGGTCTGTAAATAACAGCAGGCAGCTGCAGCACAGACTGACCGCAGTGATGGTGTGTGTGATTACAGACGAACACAACAGCATGCTGCTCATCAGTTTGCACACACACAGACGCAGCGTAACACCCAGAACACCCTCCATCTTCACACTTAGAAGAGACATTAAAAATACAGTGTCACTTGATGTTTCATTTAAGAGTTGTGGTGCACAATCTCTGGAAGGAAGCTGATGATAATAAATGCACAAGATGTGAAAGTCAGATGATGTTCACGCCCCAAGATTCATTTAAAGACAATAATAAAATCAAACTTGACTATTATTAGAGCTCATATCGTTCCAAACCCGTAAGACCTTTGTTCATTTTCGGAACACAAATTAAGATATTTTGATAAAATCCGAGAGCTTTCTGACCCTTCATAGACAGCAAGGGTCCTACCACGTTCAAGGCCCAGAAAGGTACCAAGAACATCGACAAAATAGTCCATGTGAAATCAGTGGTTCATCCATAATTTTATAAAGCTACAAGTATACTTTTTGTTGCACAAAAAAGTAAAATAACGTCATTCGACGATTCTTTTTCTCCACGTCACCCTAGCGCCATTTTGGAGAGTACCACAACGTATGTGCGTGCTTTCCTCTGATCGTAAACAAGGCGCAGCGCATGCGTGTTCTACGTCAGCAGCACCATGTGCATGCTTTGTTTGTGTAGATCAATGTTGTAAATAATATTCAGTTTCTTGCACAGACCGATCGTTTCGCTTCATAAGACCTCATTATATTGTCCAAAGCCACAAGTATTAATTATGTGTTCCTTGATATGCTTTTTTTATTCTCAAAAACAGGCAGCTAAAAATCTTCTTTACTGTTCTACATCTTGGATGGCCTGAGAGTGAGTAAATTAGCAGCAAATGTTCATTTTTGGGTGAGGTGTCTCTTTAAACTGGTGAATTAAGTGGAGAATGTGGACATGGTTTGTGGTCCTGCTTACCAGTGACAGCGAGGTCTGTAAATAACAGCAGGCAGCTGCAGCACAGACTGACCGCAGTGATGGTGTGTGTGATTACAGACGAACACAACAGCATGCTGCTCATCAGTTTGCACACACACAGACGCAGCGTAACACCCAGAACACCCTCCATCTTCACACTTAGAAGAGACATTAAAAATACAGTGTCACTTGATGTTTCATTTAAGAGTTGTGGTGCACAATCTCTGGAAGGAAGCTGATGATAATAAATGCACAAGATGTGAAAGTCAGATGATGTTCACGCCCCAAGATTCATTTAAAGACAATAATAAAATCAAACTTGACTATTATTAGAGATAATTTTCTTAAAACACGTTCCTGGTCTTATTGTGGATTATTCTTATCAGTGTCTTTTATTTTATTTTTATTTGAATCTCCTCCTGTGTGTAATGTTTCATTAACTTGTTTTACTTCTGTAATATCTTTCCATTTCGGCTGAATCATTTTGGTTTTAAATGCCCATGTTTCATAATCCAATCCAAAATGTCCAATTGCTAAAATGCTATTTTATTATTATTTTTATTTATTATTATAAAAAAAATATATATATATACACACACATTGTGTGTGTGTATGTGTGAATATATATACTTTATATTGTTGTTTTAATAAAAAAAAAAATCCAGAGGTAAATCAATAATTACATTTTTAACAATATTTCAAGTGTCATTTATGAGGTTTGTAAAAGGCAAAAAGTTGATCATACTGATTTCAAAGTTAAGGATTCATTAGTTTGAATATTCATTGAACCAAAAACGAAAAGCTAAACCAAAAACTTAAAACATCTTAGTTAATAAATCAGTATACTTTTTGACAGAACATCCCATGTTTCGGTAGTGAGAGCACAGTTTCGGTAGTGACCACATCACATTAGACTTTTAACTTGCATACTAAAACACTACAAAAACATACTAAAATACAAAACATTTTTGCATAACTGTACTCAAATTTTGCTTATTTCCCCCAAATATGAGAATTATGTGTTGACTTTTGTCACTACTGAAACAATGATGACATGTTTCGGTAGTGACGATTTTACGTGATAACACCAAAAAAACAAAGATGTCACTACTGAAACCCCACCTAATGTTTCGGTAGTGACAATTTGAGATACTTTTGAACCTAGCTCAAAGTTGCTAATCAGCACATGGTTAGCTAGCACAGTTCTGAACAGTGGTATACATATAAAAACTAAATTTTATGGAATAACTCCCAAAAAAAGTGTGCTTAATTGCAGAAAAAAAGTGTTCGGTAGTGACGTTCCTTAAAGTTACGCACACATTTACTTCAAAATGATGAGACCTATCTACTCGCACCTTGTAGCTATGAGAGAGAGGGGACACATAAATATTTCCTGATCATAAATATATGGGTTTAGTTAAAATCGGTAGTGACATGAAAAATGCAGGACACTTTTTTTTTTTTTTTTTTTACATAAAGTTTCATAATTTACAAAGAAAATATTAAATATTTTTTTTGAACTTCACTTTTTAAAAGAGACTTTTAAAAACAACAATGGAAATAAATACAAAAATTATTTCAATATCATTTTCATAAGTTGAAATTTAGGGGTTAGGGTTCGGGACAGCCACCTCCCAATTGAAAGTACCCAATAAATGATGATTTCATATATATTAAGCTTACTAATATTTTATATATTAATGTGGGTTTCAATGGATAATAGAAGGATCTTAGTAAACATCTCAGATTTTTTGTTTTTTTCCCAGCATTGCTGTCAATTTGTTGATTGTACCATGTCTCACACCTTCTGCATTTGTTTCTAGCTTTTCTACATTGCTTCTAATCTAGCACTGCACTGAGCATTTAAAAAAAAAATTAAATCTGAGTTATACATAAGCTTTTTCAAGAGTTTGCCACTCCATCCACTACTCAAGGTATATTCTCATGAAAATTCAAATCCAACAGCATTTTGCATTTGGTCATAATTACAGGGCCAGCACAACCTGATGGACTCACCAGAAACTAGAGCTGGAAGAATGTGACCTCAGACATCTGAGGAGCTGCAGGTCCAAGCACAGCAGCCGTCAGTCATGCAGCCTATGTCCACTCGTCTTTCTGACTTCTCAATGAGTGTTTGTGTGCATTTCTCCTCCCCCTCTCCCAGTGGGACGTGTCTAAACATTCAGGCTTTTTTGTGATGTTGCCTAGACTCAAAGCACGTGTCTGTGTGGAGGGAGTGTCAGTGTTTGACTACAGAAACCGGTCCATCTGCTTCCTCCACGACCACAGGTGTTCAGCCGTGCGCATGCGACTTTCCTGATGTAGTGCTGGTGTCTCTGGCAACACGCAGCACACTTCTGTGAGCTTTATTTGACTGATGTTTGTGGATCCACGCAGCCGCTGCAGTCAGACCGAAGAGGACTGAGCGCGTGCTGCCATCTATCCTTCAGAAGATCGAAGACTAAACAAACAAGCAAAGATACAATACTAAGAAAGGAACTTGTTAAGCAATAGTATTTCATCTGTTATTAATCAAATAAAATGTTGTGTCTTATATTTTGTTTTATTTTCATTTGAGTTGTTTTGTGTTTTTCTTTTTGTTAGTAATTTTTAAAAATGTCCATATAGTTTTTATTCATTTTTATTTTAGTTTTAGTTATTTAATATTTCAAGTTAAAGAAAATGGAAATGTGAAATATTGGCAACTAGCTGAAATAAAATAGGTTTATGTTTTTTTCTGTTTTATTTTGTTTCAGGTAAAGTTGATCTTATTTTATGGTTTTTGTTTAGTTAACTATATACCAACCCTATCAGAAACGATTATGTCTATATAGCCTAGTTATTATTATTTTATTTGAGTTATTTTAGTACATCAAATTAAACCAAATAGAAGGGAGAATGTTGCTTTGGCAACCAGCTGAAATAAAATACTTTTCTTTTTTTTTTTAAATATATATTTTATTTTATTTCAGTTCAAGTTTATTTTATTTCAAGTAATGAAAGTTGTTTTTTATGGTTTTAGTTTTTGGTAAGTGTAATACTTCAGATCAGAAATGAATCTCTATGTAGTTATTTTCATTTTAGTTTTAGTTAGTACATCAAGTTAACACTAAAGCTGAAATATGTTTTTGATGTTTTGTTTTATTTTATTTCAAGTAACAAAATGCTTTAACTATGATAACCCTGATCAGAAATAACATTTACTTTACATAATTAACTGGGAATATGTATGAATTATTAGACACAGACATAATATTAATAATAATATACTTGAAGACTTCTACTCGTGTCTCTCTGCAGTTTGTGTATTGTATTGTTTATAATATTGTAAACATAGCCAACCAGTCGATGTCAACAAGGTTAACAATGTAAAACTCTTTGTGTTATTCAGCTTTATAAACCTTTTCATTTAAAGCCTTATGCTTAAATGATTGAAATTTGTTTTGTAGACACTTACAGGTAAAGTTCACTAGCGATAAATTATATATATATATTGTTGTCTGTGGTTCAGGAGTGACTTAACGAGGAATACGACAACTGTAGCCAAATTCCTTGACACGTCTGTGTGTGGTGGCTCTTGATGCCTTGACCCCAGCCTCAGTCCATTCCTTGTGAAGTTCACTCAAATTCTTGAATCGATTTTGCTTGACAATCCTCATAAGGCTGCGGTTCTCTCGGTTGGTTGTGCATCTTTTTCTTCCACACTTTTTCCTTCCACTCAACTTTCTGTTAACATGCTTGGATACAGCACTCTGTGAACAGCCAGCTTCTTTGGCAATGAATGTTTGAGGCTTACCCTCCTTGTGAAGGGTGTCAATGATTGTCTTCTGGACAACTGTCAGATCAGCAGTCTTCCCCGTGATTGTGTAGCCTAGTGAACCAAACTGAGAGACCATTTTGAAGGCTCAGGAAACCTTTGCAGGTGTTTTGAGTTGATTAGCTGATTGGCATGTCACCATATTCTAATTTGTTGAGATAGTGAATTGGTGGGTTTTTGTGAAATGTGAGCCAAAATCATCACAATTAAAAGAACCAAAGACTTGAACTACTTCAGTCTGTGTGCATTGAATTTATTTAATACACGAGTTTCACAATTTGAGTTGAATTACTGAAATAAATGAACTTTTCCACGACATTCTAATTTATTGAGATGC